AAGTGAACATGTTGCATTGTTTTTTGTTGCATTGAGATTTAATTTCTTTTGATAGTATTTTTGAAAACTATGCGTCTCTATACATAATTTAAATCACTTTTCCTGTTAAGTTTGTGTACTTACATACATTAAAATACGCTTTTTCAAGTGTACGAATATTTATTTCTCCCCACTGTACATACTGGGCAATAATTGTTTATTTAATAATCTACAAGTTACTCATAGACTCAATGATCGGAACCTGATGTTACAAGTAAACATCTCCTGGGCAATTTCATAGTTGATGAAATAAGGGCTATGTATCCGTTTTTATTGAACTGTTTAAATAAAACTGCTTTTGACGATAACATCGTTAAGAGTGATACTATTAGGTTGCGAACTTGTGTGGAACCGACGCAATCAATTCAGGCTGAAAATATACGTCGGAGATAAGGTTTTTCTTACGATTCGATTAAGTTGAATATACTCGTATGACACTATAAACATACGTCACATTTATCACTATAAAATATGTTAAAATTAGTAACACAGTAAACATATTTCACATTTATCACTAAAAAATATATTAAAATTAGTACGTAACATAGTAGTAATTATCAAGCGCAATATCCACGGGACCACGATGAGGATGAGTTTAATTAGGACCGACACAATTGCATCTCATTACTTCAACTATTAGCCATTAAACTGATTACGATCCCCCATTACTTCATCCTATTATTGCTAATAACTCATTCAAATGAGACGTTCTGGATCTTACTGAAAACTCTACCCGATAACAGGCAGTATTTACACGCCACTACAAAATATCTACACTTCATTAATATATGAACACGTCTAACGTCACTGCCCAAACAAGGAGCAAGGACCAGACGTCAAGCCAGGCGACGTGACGTCACCGTACCAGCACCAGCTTGCCGGCGACGCAGACGTAGGACGCACGACGCGACGTCGTCACCGCCATGGCTGATGATCACGTCACGCTATTCCACTTGGGCATCTCATTACATTATTTGTTTCATTCTAATATCTGATTTATATTCAATTTATTCTATTCTATCTGAATTTAAGTACTTCATTCTGTTTATCGGATACTCATTTCGTTACTTCATTTTTTAACTGATTAATCATCTGTTTATTGTAGGCCTTTAACGAATCAATAACCATTAATTAAAATTAAAGACATTCAAGCAAGATTCACGGGTTGGCGAATGGAAGCAAAGCCCAGGGTCCGCTAACGTTCACCGGGACCAGTAAAGCTTAACCCAGAACGCCACCGTTCAAGGAGCGACACGAAGCGCTGATGCTACACTTTTATGGTTCTAAATCAAGATTTTAATGCGAGTATAAGATGCAGATCAGATAAGTTATTGAGCCATTCCCGTCAATTTTATGGCCTATGCAATGGCGAGGTGACTTTTGAACGCGGGAGCGACACACCACAACCTCACCACGCGACCGCCAACGCGGCACTGAATGTCAACGCTAAACGGACGTCGGGCCAGCGGCCCATTGATTTGCTGGTGAGCAGTCATGCGGTATACTATGGGGCTGTTATTGCCCTATACTGTTATGATACATTAGCTAGTATTGTACACTGTTATATATGGTATACTGAATTGGTGTTATAACTATACACTGCTATGCTGTATAATTTTATATTGAATACTGTTAACCGTTTTACTATATGCCGATATGATGCATATACGGTTGACTGAATACTGCAATGATAGTATACCAAAGGCAATATCAATGCATTGCGCTAAGCGTTACACATTATCAGGATTATCTTATCGGTTGAGATGATGAATGCTGATACGCGGGACACGTTCAAGATAAACACAATTGCGAAGCTATCTCTAGAGGACACAGCAAGGAGTGTGAATGTTGCACCATTGTTTTCTAGGCTATATATTTATCTTTGATCATGGACAATATCTTCATATCTCGTTCGGTTATGGACTACATCAGTAGATAAAAAGATGTAACTGAAGTATATACTTCCTTTGCTATGTGAACCTTCAAAACAGTCTACGGTGTTTGTGGCCAGTATTTAATTATGCGCCAGTCGAGTAAACTTATTTGAGATGAAATGAAAGCATGTCAATACAGGCCAAGAGTAGGTAGCCTGTATTGTACTTTGTTGATAAATACAACACTTGCCTCACGTATAGTTCATGTACAAGTGTTCAATGATAAATTCAACACTTGCCTCACGTATAGTTCATGTACTAGTGTTCAATGATAAGGACAACACTGGCCTCACGTATAGTTCATGTACTAGTGTTCAATAAGCAAATGATTACGTCACATCTGCATCAGGCGTGTCTCTAACAAGATTCACGNGCGCCTAAAGTGACGTATGATAGCGCCTAAAGTGACGTATGATAGCGCCTAAAGTGACGTACGATAGCGCCTAAAGTGACGTACGATAGCGCCTGAAGTGACGTATGATAGCGCCTAAAGTGACGTATGATAGCGCCTAAAGTGACATATGATAGCGCCTAAAGTGACGCATGATAGCGCCTAAAGTGTCGTATGATAGCTCCTAAAGTGACGTATGATAGCGCCTAAAGTGACGTATGATAGCTCCTAAAGTGACGTACTGTAGCTCCTAAAGTGACGTATGATAGCGCCTAAAGTGACGTACTGTAGCGCCTAAAGTGACGTATGACAGCGCGTAAAATGACGTATGATAGCGCCCTGAGTGACATATGATAGCGTCTACAGTGACGTACGATAGAGTCTAAAGTGACGAACGATAGCGCTTAAAGTGACGTATGATAGCGCCTAAAGTGACGTAAAATAGCGCCTAAAATGACATATGAGAGCGCGTAAAATGACGTATGATAGCGCCTATAATACAGTGCCGTACGATAGCGCCTACAGTGCCGTACGATAGCGCCTACAGTGAGGTACGATAGCGCCTAAAGTGACGTATGATAGCGCCTAAAGTGACGCACGATAGCGCCTAAAGTGACGCACGATAGCGCCCACAGTGACGTACGATAGCGCCTGCAGTGCCGTATGATAGCGCCTACAGTGCCGTATGATAGCGCCTACAGTGCCGTATGATAGCGCCTAAGCGCCGAATTATAGTCACTTAATTGACAGATAATTGAGGGCGCTAATTGAGGGAGATAGCTGGGGGAGTTAATTAAGAAGCTAAATGAGTAAGATTATTGGGGGTGCGAATTTAATGAGTGTTAGTAGAGCGAATACACACCCCAGCTCTGGGCAGGATGCTCTGGCAGCGGCAGGCGGGGCAGGTGAGGGCGAGCGCCGCCGTGGGAGTCGTGGTCACCAAACACGACAAGCAGAAGCTGTGGCCGCACGGCAACGTCTGTAGTGATAACAAACAATAAATAACACGCACTACTTCACTTGTCCATCTCTATATATATTCAGTTTTATCAGTCAACAAAACATTTGAAGCTAAATTCAGAAATAATTCGATCATTGCACATCAATTATCCAGATTAGATAAGTCATTGCTGTTAATCGTTTTCTGTGTTGCTAGCTAGTTATTGTTTCTATGAGGAACTAAAGTAGTCGCTTTGTTGTGTAGTAAAGAATACCACATAAAATTGAAAATTCTTTAAGATTGAAAAGCTAAGTGGTTAGTAAATGGACATTATCGCATGCAGGAGCTGTTAATTTTTGGCACACAATGCAGGGAAGGCCAGCGTCGTCACGCGTGAGCTCGTCAGGCTCTGGCAGTGCAAGGCGCAGGGTGGAATTCTAAAAATGGTGGTGCATAGATTTAAGATTTATACAGCTTGGTAATGTGCTCAGTTCCAAAACGTCAACTGAGTTATAAAACTAAAGTCTATGTCTTTTTTTGAGATATGTCAGGTATCCTTTTTTTCAAACATTCCTCAGTAATTCCACCCTGGACTCCGACACAGGCATGCGGTGCAGCGAGCACTGATCAATAAATTGCTTGACGGGTAAATATTCCCCAACCTGATGTGAAGGAGGATGCTGGGGATGAGAAAGAGTGTAATGTTGGGGGATTCGAAGGACGCATGGGATGAGGAGGTCAGGGCAGATTCATGGGGATGTAGGTGAAGTTGGAGAATGAAGGGTGCTATCTGCATGGTAAAAAAAGCATGAACAAAAGGATGCTTGGGAAGTGCGCGAGATGTTAAAGAGGTCACGAAATGTTGGGGATGAGGGGGAAACGAACACCCACCTTGGGGTTGTTGAGCACTTGGTGGCAGATGGAGCAGTTTGAGGACCGGGGTTCAGCGGCCAGAAACCGTGACGGGTGAACAGGTCCCAAGTCCCCAAGTGAATTCCTCATAGCAGGAGCTGTTCCACATTGCAGGCGCGCGTGGGGACTTTCTACTGAAAACTCCCCACAAGTTCCTCGAAGGCTGGCGCTGCGTGTGGGTGGGGAGTAGCCGAGGGGGAGGTCGCTAGCCCCATTATGGTTTATGGGAGCTTCCAGATTGAAAGGAAGGCTGCGGGGTTGTGGGGAAATGGGGGACACGCGGGTTGCGGGGGAAGACATGGCCCTCAGAAGCGGCGGGGCTTTGGCCGCCGTGAAACGGATTGGGGAAGACCGTGGGGGATTGGATCGGACTGAGGACGAGCGTTTAAAACGCGGGCTCCCCTCGGGGCTCGCCTCCGTAACCGGCAGAGATGGGGACCCTCTATGGGGACTGGGCCGACTTAAGTACTCAAAATAGGGATTGGACCGACTATGTGGCTCCCTAAGAGTACTGGACCGAGTCGGAGACTCTCTTAGAGTAATGGCTCTAGTCGGCGAATCTTTAAGCCTTGTGGACCGAGCAGGCGGTTCCCACAGCGAAATGGACCGAGCCGGGGACTCCCTATGAGAACCTGCACGAGTCAGAGGCTCCCTGTGGGAGTGAGAACGCACAGGGGGCCCAGGCTTATGGGACCCAGGCTTATGGGAGTGGATGGGACAGTCGGGATCCCGCGGGATGTACGAGTTGTGGGAAGGATCGAACACCACGTCGTGGGTCCCGCCCGAGTCACGGGCGCTGAAGTAGGAATCTGTAGGACTCCTACCGCGGGCTGTGTGGTAGGATCCTGTCGTGGAGTCGGAGTTCTTTTTGTGTGGGCGCGTATCTTGGGAGGCGTAGGGTGTATCCTCAGAGGCGAAGGACGAGTGAGGGGAAGGACTGATGTCCTTGGAATAGGAATATTCTGATGCTATCTGCAACGTAAAAAAAGCATGAACAAAAACAAAAATTTACTTAAAAGAATAAATATATTAACACCGAGTTATAGAAAAGGTACCGCAAGAATGATATTTGTGATTCGCGAATAGACTGAGTTTTTACAATCTTGTGGATATAATGGAAAAATGTGGCAACCTTACAGAGAGGTTTCCGACTAGGCGGACGGTGCATAGGCCGCAGGGCGGCAGGCTTGTGTGCCTCAGGGCAGTCATGGTGTGGGTGGTAGAGTTGAGATTCATGGGGATGTAGGTGAATTTACTGACTGCTGCTTACTGACTGCTACGTAGGAATCCTACAGATTCCTACGTCCACCGGCTATGTTGATTATATTAATACGAGGTCATGCGGCCATCAGCTACGAGTTTTCAGGTGCTGGTGGACATTCTCACCTCAGAGCAGGAGGACACGGTGGACATTCTCACCTCAGAGCAGGAGGACACGGTGGACATTCTCACCTCAGAGCAGGAGGACACGGTGGACATTCTCACCTCAGAGCAGGAGGACACGGTGGACATTCTCACCTCAGAGCAGGAGGACACGGTGGACATTCTCACCTCAGAGCAGGAGGACACGGTGGACATTCTCACCTCAGAGCAGGAGGACACGGTGGACATTCTCACCTCAGAGCAGGAGGACACGGTGGACATTCTCACCTCAGAGCAGGAGGACACGGTGGACATTCTCACCTCAGAGCAGGAGGACACGGTGGACATTCTCACCTCAGAGCAGGAGGACACGGTGGACATTCTCACCTCAGAGCAGGAGGACACGGTGGACATTCTCACCTCAGAGCAGGAGGACACGGTGGACATTCTCACCTCAGAGCAGGAGGACACGGTGGACATTCTCACCTCAGAGCAGGAGGACACGGTGGACATTCTCACCTCAGAGCAGGAGGACACGGTGGACATTCTCACCTCAGAGCAGGAGGACACGGTGGACATTCTCACCTCAGAGCAGGAGGACACGGTGGACATTCTCACCTCAGAGCAGGAGGACACGGTGGACATTCTCACCTCAGAGCAGGAGGACACGGTGGACATTCTCACCTCAGAGCAGGAGGACACGGTGGACATTCTCACCTCAGAGCAGGAGGACACGGTGGACATTCTCNCAGTCAGTAAGCAGCAGTCAGTAAGCAGCAGTCAGTAAGCAGCAGTCAGCAAGCAGCAGTCAGTAAGCAGCAGTCAGCAAGCAGCAGGTTGCCATTCACTGGTCGGGGCCGCGATGAATGAGCGCAGCGCCTGACCTCCACCGCGGCGCTGGCGCTAAAAAAGTAAAAGTACGGACACGTGAAAGTACAGCTCGGTCACACGTGCCTTGTATGGCACTCGTGCACGTGCCTTGTATGGCACTCGTACACGTGCCTTGTATGGCACTCGTACACGTGCCTTGTATGGCACTCGTACACGTGCCTTGTATGGCACTCGTACACGTGCCTTGTATGGCACTCGTACACGTGTC